AACGCGCGGACCGGAGAGCGGCGGGACCATGGGCCGCGCCGCTTCGTGCGCCCGCGGCCTCCCAGCGTCAGCCGCATGCCCCCACCATGCCCCCGCGCCTCTGGGTGCAGCCGGGGGAGCCGCGAGCCCCCTCGGGCTTGGGTCGAAGCTCTGCCCTGCACCCTTGCTCTGCTCCTGGCGGCTTCATGCCTGCGGGCTGCTCTGTCCCTCGGCGCCCATCCTGTTATGGAGCGCGCCCGAGCGCCTCTGTCGCAATTGCGGGGGCTAGAAGCCCGACATGCGCCTTTGTGTTTACATTCGCACCCGCTCCTTTTTCTCCCTTTCCTTTCAGCTCTCCAGGTGCTGACAGTGGCAGGTCGCCTTTGGGCGGCTGCCAGCCCCCAGGGACTGGAGTTGAAAGATGACCCCTTTCAGCCTAGGGCTGTTCAGCGAAGGGAGAGGGGGACAGGCTGCTGCTGCTTGGTGGGGAACAGAGTGAAATCAAACTTGTCTGTCTTTGAGAAGTAGCAGTAACCTACAGCATGCTGGGTTGGGCTGTGTCAGTGCTCTGTATTCCTGACTTATCAACTTCAACCAACCTCTGCTTTCACAGTCCCCTTGGCCGGCCTTCTGTGAGCAGCCTGACAATTTTTGTAGTAAACGTGTTTTTCAACAGTTATTAAAAAATTTTAAAAGCTGCTTTTTTGGTCTACTTCTGCCCTTCTAACTTCCTGAATTTGGCTGTTCATCCTTGTGTTTTGTGTCTTGGAAACCTTCCTATAAAGGACATGATGAACTAAGCAGCTGCCTTGGCAGTATTTTGTGTAATTGGCTACCCTGGGCACAAAGACTGAACTATACTATTAGTTTCTGAAAGGATCTTGGCAGGCCCAACTTGAGGTGAACTGCTGGGGTAGTACCAGTTTGTAGGTAGTTTCCTTTGTACTTCTAAAACAAATGATGTCTTTGCCTAGACAGGAGGCCCTTCTTAACTGAGTTTAAATATTTTAGTAAATCAACACTAAATGTTTCACAAACAATTTTTGCCCTGGGACATGCTTAAATCTTCAGTTTTCACTTTTGCTTATGTACTATAGTGCTTTTAATGGCCTGCACTGATTAGAAAAAGCAGAGGTTGAAGACCTTGGAACAGGATTATCAATCCAAAGTGTTATTAGAAGAGAACAGTGTAGAATTGTTTCTTTCATAAATGCTTTGTATTGAATCTTTTTTGTCCAAGCTACTCTTGTCCTAGACATATACTGTTTAAATTTGGGATTGGTTCTGCCTAGGAAGAGTCTCCTTGTTGATTTATAGGTCTTCAGGGATATTACTCATAGTTGAAGATTTCTGAAACATGCAGAAAGTATAATTGTTAAACAGTCACATCAGCTAGCCTGTTTCTAATCTGTTTTGGTAAATATAAGAATGATAGTTGAGGGTCTAAATAGTCCTTATGGAGACTCTCTTGTATATATGATAAACTATATGCTCATGCATTGAAATCATGCAAAAAACAAGTGGAGGGATATCTTTTATTAGACCAGCTGCATAGCTGGGAGAGATGACAGATGTTAGACCTGAAGATGGGCACTTTGTGCCATAGAGCTAGTTTGATAAAACAATCATCTTGTTGCTTGCATATTTCCTGGACCATCAGGGCTACAACAACACCACAACAAAACTGCATAAACTAATACATCTGTTTTTCTCTGTCTGTCTGAGATGTGTAGCTTGACTTGGGCATAACTATTGGAATGGGAGTGAAAACTGTCCAAACCAGTGAATAAAGTAACAGCAAGAAAGCTTACCAAAATAACACTCACATGCACTTAAAATGTTGCAGACTGGAATTTTGAAATTCTGTCCATCCTCCTTTTTCCTGGACCATAACAGAATTTTTAAAGGGGAGAGGACTATTACTTTGTATAACAGGCACTTGGTATTTTCTGCTTTTCATTTGTAATCATAAGACTTGGGATATATCTAGCTTTAAGTATTCTGATCTTATACAGTCAAGAAATAAGCAAGTCTGAACAAATTTTGGTATGGAGGATTGTTTTGGATAAACTGCTCCCTCCCCTCTTTTTTTTTCTTAAGGAAAAAAGTGGATATTTTGTTGCCATTGGTGTGTGTTCAATTCAGAAATATCAAATGTCACCTCTGTCTGATTTTGTTGGGCATCTAAAACATTTGAGAAGCCTTGTGTAGAAAAGACAGTTTGCATGGTGTAACCAGTCAAATTGTTCAAGTTCAAATTTGAACTTCATTAGTCCAAAATGCATTGAAAGCCTTGTCCTTTATGTTTGCTGAACTTCTTTGCTAAGCTGTTCCTACATCATAAGGCCTGTGTTTTTTAAAGAACTAATATAACAATACTGGGTCCAAAAGAGTGGAACTTGAGCAACTGATATGCAAGTTGTGAAAAGTAAAGGATTTTTAAATGGTGCTGTCCTAAAGCTTTTTGAAGGGTATGGATTATTTATACCCGTGTAATTTTAAATTACTACAATTTTATTAGAAAGGCTATTGGATTCAACAAACCTATTCAAACATCTGAAGAAAAAGATTAATAAAATATATCCTAGGGAAGAGGAGTTAATTTGTAGTTTAAAAAGAAAAATGAAGTAGAAATTGTTCCTCAATATTCCTACCTTTCTTAAATCAATACCTGTTTGTAATTTTTTGTTTGTTTAAAAAAATTCTTTGCAGGTCATTTAAAGCATATAGCCAGCTTTCTGTGTAGAAATGCACCGTTTGACTCAGATGGTACTATTTTGTTATGCTCTCTTTCAGACAACCTCCTTTTTAGTGATGAGGTCGTAGCCAATGGCTTCCATTCTTGTGATAGCGATGAAGATGACAGAGCCTCGCATGCAAGTTCTAGTGACTGGACTCCAAGACCACGGATAGGTACAAATGTATACAATATGTCACTTCCCAGGTTCTTTGTTAGCTTTTTAAGTTCTTACTGAATGTGATTTATTTCATATTTTTATAGTGATTGTAAAATTCTGCTAAGTTACCTTTTTTCTTTTTCAGCAGTTCACAGCTCTGCATACCATGCCATATCTGGCTACTTAAAAGTACAGGTGTTTAAAAGTGTTTATTGTAATTCTTACAGAGGTATAGATTGTAGCTGTGCTGGTCTAAGGACATAGGCAGACATGGTTCTTTAAGTGAATCTGATATCTTTTATTAGACCAACTTAAATAGTTGTAAAACAATTATTAAGCAAGCTTTCAGGTTCAAAAACCCTTAGTCAGTCTGAGGAAGTTTCAGCAGTTGGTGTGTGCTCTTCCTGGATGGAATGAAAAGTAAAGAAGCCAGAGGCTGGTCTGGTATGCATACAAGATAGTCAGTGAAGATGTAGATTGAGGAGTCAATGGGTGAGAGACAGGCTGGGTGTGGGGGAGAAAAAGAGGATGAATAGTGGAGAGATACCTAGGGAGTTGGATGTCAGGCAGGTTATAATGTATCATAAATCCAATATCTATATTTAGTCCATGATTTTTAGTATCCAGGAGGTTGATGAAATGGAGTTCATAGGCTCGTCTCTGGGGAGTGTTTTGTAAGTTTCCTCTGAGGATCAGGACTGAGAGAGTGTAATTCTTAACATCTTTAAGGCAACAAAATACTACAAAAAATATTAAACTTATGTATCCTGTCATCAGATTTCATACCTAAAATGCTGCATGCTTACATCTGGGTTTGCACCTCATGAAATGAGGTTGCAACTAGAAAATTGTCATTAGTGTTAAGTCGGGGCAAACTGTGGCATTTGAACTATGTCCTTAAAAAATCAAAACAGGTTGGAAGTCAGTTGTTCTTTCTCTACCGATAGTACCTAGCAGTTCCATCTATATATGCCAGGGCTCTCTTGTGCTATGCTTTGTATGCACACACACAGTTTTTGGTTTACTTCTTAATGAATGTGTATTCTGTATTATAGGACTGTGTGAAATTTCACCAGCTGTTTCAATTCGACACTGTTTCGATTCATTTCAAGCTCAAAACAGCAAAATCGAAACAAAGGGCTTCAAAACAGCCTTGACACAAAACAAGGCTAGTAGAAACATTTTGAAAAGTCTCGAGGCAGCCAGGTGGTGGGAAATGGGGGAGAACCAGGGCTGCACTCCCAGCAGCCCCATGTGACTGAGCCAGGAGCACAGCCCTGGCTTGCCCTGCCCCCTGTGGCCAGGCTGCAGGAAGCCAATCACAGTGCAGGGGAAGGGAACTGAGCCCCCAAACTGAGCTGGGCTCGGTTCCCCTCCCTGGAGCTGCAGTCAGGCTGGGGAAAGAAACTCAACCTAGCTGAGCTGAGTTCCCCTCCCCAGCGCTACGATTGGGCTGGGGAAAGGAACTCAACTGGGTTCCTTTCCGCGGCCCAGTTGTAGCAGTGGGGAGGGGAACTGAGCGATCTGGCTGAGTTCCCTTCCCCAGCTCCCCGGTCCCAGGCAGCAGGACCCAGCTTCCCTCAGTCATCTGGCAGGCAGATCAAGGGCCCGTAGACCCAGGGAGAACTGGCGCAGCCCTCCTGGGGTTGCGGGCCCCCATCTTCCTGCCAGGTGAGAGGCTGTTTTGAGTGACTGGATGAAACGTCGAAACAGCATCACTGTTTTGACTAAGCGAGACGGAACAGCCATTTCGAATCAAAATGAAATTTGATATGAAACACTGTTCCATCAAAACATTGAAACCCAAGTCAAAACGGAACGGTGCCTACTATATTGCTATTCTGCCCTGAGTAGGTGAGATTAATAATGGGCTATGCATTTGCAGTGTATGCATCAGTAACACAGTTCATCAGTAGGAAGAGACCAAATAGCTGGAAGATATTTTGTTTCATGCAAAAATCAAAAAAACTGCAAGGGACCTCAGAAGGTCACCTAATCCTGCTCCAGGTAGGATCACTCCAGTCTAAACCATTTCACTCAAATGTTTGTCTAACTTGCTCTTAAAACTTCTAATGATGGAGATTCCACAAACTCTTCAGTAGTCTTTTCTAATGCTTATCAACAAGCCTCATACTTAAAAGTTCTTCCTAATATCCAACCTAAATTTGCCTTGCTGCTGTTTAAGCTTGTAATTACCTGTTTGTCCCTCGCAGCTGCAGTGAATAGTTTATCTCCATCTTTTTTGTAACCACTCTAGGATTCAAAAACAACTGTCAAATCCCTCCCAGTCTTTTCTGAGGAACAAATAATCTTAGTTCTTCCAAACTTCCTTGTAAATGCTTCCCAGACCTCTAATGATCTTGTATGCTATCCATTAGACTTATTCCAATTTTTCTTCCTTGAAGTGCAGTGCCACAGATGAGGCACAATACGCCAGGTGATGCCTCACGAGTAGTGACTAGAACAGAAAATTCACTTCCTTTTCTGTGCAAGCAGGATCCCTGTTAATGCCGCCCAGTATGCTATTGGGTATTTTATCTGCTTATTTTATTGCAACAAGATCACAGGGTTGTCTCATTTACAGTGAGTCACAAGGGAACCCCCCCCCCCCCCCCCCCCCCCCCCCCCCCCCCCCCCCCCCCCCCCCCCCCCCCCCCCCCCCCCCCCCCCCCCCCCCCCCCCCCCCCCCCCCCCCCCCCCCCCCCCCCCCCCCCCCCCCCCCCCCCCCCCCCCCCCCCCCCCCCCCCCCCCCCCCCCCCCCCCCCCCCCCCCCCCCCCCCCCCCCCCCCCCCCCCCCCCCCCCCCCCCCCCCCCCCCCCCCCCCCGAAAAAATATGATAGTGTATAGTCTTCAGGCATGCTAAGAGCTGGGTTTGTAGGTCAAGGGAAGCCTTGCCATAGGAAATCTTTCTGATTTGTCCTTTAGATAAAAACAAAAAAACCCAAGAACTTCATATCTCATTTTAGTGCATAAGTTAGAGTCTGCATAAAAGAGCTGTGGTAGGGGAGGGGGGAGAGCTCTTACTTTAATAATGTAAAGGAGTTAGAACGAATGAACACATGAAATTGCAAGAACACTTAGCTGAAATTTTCCTATAGAATTTTCCTCTGATAAAGAATGTTAAAGCAGGTTCTCATAACCTCTTGTTTTTTTTCTGTACTAGGTCCCTACACTTTTGTTCAACAGCATCTCATGTTAGGCACAGACCCAAGGACAATTTTGAAAGATCTGTTACCAGAAACTATTCCTCCACCTGAACTAGATGATATGACACTGTGGCAAATTGTTATAAACATTCTTTCAGAACCACCAAAAAGGAAAAAACGAAAAGATATTAATACCATTGAGGATGCTGTGAAACTTTTGCAAGAATGCAAAAAGATTATGGTCTTGACTGGAGCTGGGGTATGTATGTATAGTTATAATGATAGAGTTCAAATAGATTACTCTTTAAGCCCTCTCCAACAGTTTACAAAGTGCAGATGCACCCATGCAGAGCCACGCTTGTATCAGTGGGAGTGCTCTGATCCACTTATATTTTGTAACTTGCAAAATTCAGCCAAATCTTGAATGCAGCCAGATACATTTTAATGTAGTTGGACTTTGTGTGCTTTATTACAGTAATAAAATTAATTTGAGATTGTAAAGCATGTGCTAAATAACTTTAAAAACCCACATCCTAATTAGTAAGGTATCCAGAGATGGTAAAAATGTTTATTCCTAATCACCTGTTTTTTTATATTAATTTCTGTCTATGTAGTTTTGAAACATATATAGCAATATCATCTACTTAATTTGTTGGCATTATATAATTCTCAGAGGAAAACTCCCATTGACTTCAATGGGACTTAGATTGGACTTCAGTAGATTACTGAGAGCAGTTGTGTTCAGCCTTTTGCGGCCAGTCCACAGACCTGACCCCTGGCAAGATCAGCACCCAGATCGGGCCCCATATACCCAATCTAGCATGTAGGTTCGTGCTGTTTGGCCCATGTGACTCTCCCTGGGTCTGGAAATTTACCAGCAGGGGCAGTTAGAGAAGCAGTGGCAGTGTTGCTATCAATTTTCCAGGCACATAGGAAGCTGGATGGGCTGTATCTGGTTTGAAGACTGATGTTGAGCAGCCCTGACTGAACATTGTATCTGGCTCTTAGTTTTGAACCACAGCAGTTACTGTTGTAGTCACAGCTCTTACACATGTATAGCTTTTTTTGCTACAATGTAGAAGTCAAGGAAATGGTTGCTTGTAAGGTAATAACTGCTTCCTCTGGTTGTAAAAGAAGGATGCTGGCTCATTGCCCCTTATAACACAGTATGTCAAAAACAAAAAAAGATGAGCAATTAGAGGCAGACCAGTATGTCCATAAGAGAAAGAAGTGACTGTTGTGCTGCTGTGACCCAATCTTATTTATTCTATAATTGCTATTAAGCAACCCAGTTAAAATAACCAATCTCCCTATTGTAGTTTTATTTATACTTGTTTTAAACAATATCTTAATCTTAAGTTTAGTGTTCAAAAATAGAAAAATAATAGTAAAAAATAATGTCTGGTCTGGTAGATGTAAAAACAAGAAAAGAATAGCTTTTTTCCCCCTCTTTTCAAATAAATTAAATCTTCTAGATTATCTTCTATTTTGCCAGACCAAATTTTAAGTGTTTTTAAGTGTTGTTGGACGTGTATTCAAGAAAGATATGAGTCAGTGTCCTGCTATTAAATGGCTTATCTCTGAAATATGGCTTGCGCTATAATTTTGTGCTGCAAACAATGTAATTTTTTGCACTATGTCTCTTGCATACTTATTGGCAGGAATCTTAGCTTTCTCTGATTTTTAAAAAAAAATGAGAAATTCTACAATTAAAAAAAAAATTGCAAAATCTGTGTGTTTTTTTTTTCCACAATTCATATGAAATGCCACTATATATATCAGTTGAACACAATGTTTTATTGATATATATATTTACAATTTTAAAGCAATTTGGAAGCTTACCAGTGCCTCAATTGTTATAATCAAATAAATTCTAAATATCTATAAATTTTGGTGTTTGATTTCAGGTTTTTTATCATGGAAAATCAAAACTTCCCCTTGCTCCCTTTTGCTTACCAGGACACAGGTCCAGCTGTGGCTGCTCCTCCACACTGCTTTGTGATGCTGAGCAGTCCTCTTGCCCTGCCCTAGTCATGCTCTTGCCCCTCACTCCCAACCCACAGCCCCCAGCTGTGCCACTGCCTCTCACTCTTGACCCAAAGCCGCCCAGCCCCACCAGCGCCCCTCACTCTATACCTGCTGCCCCTCCCAGCCTTGCTAGCACCTCTCACTCCCAACCTACTGCTCTACTTTCCCCAGCCCCGCAGTGTGTGGGAAAGGAGGAAGTGTGGGCATAGGCAAGGTGGCAGGGGGCACGTGCCCCCCAAGATTTGTGCCCACAGCAGGGTGTGGGGCTGGACCAGCTCTAGGCAGGAGACACCTCCATGGCCCAGCAGGCAGGACCTGGGCAGCACCTACGCTACCATGACAAGGCATAGTAGTGGTGGAGAGTTGTGCCCTTCTCTGCTGCCAGGTGGGCAGGGGACACCTCAGCTGAGCATCCATGGCATTGCAGCACACCTTCCCACACCAGGTCCTGCATGATGGGCCATGGAGGTAGCTCCTGCCCCCAGCCCTCATAGAAATGCCTGGAGGGAGCTGCATGAGCTGCTGTCCACCACTGCCTGGCTGTTATGTGCATGTGTGCATGCACACGCTTGTGGCGCCCCTTGCCTGATTGCTCCCCGCAGCCCCTTGCAGGCTGGAACGCTATTTTTTTCCCCTTTTAAAAAGGAAATCCAGGCATTTTGTTTCCATTAAAGGAGAAAATCCACATTTTTCCATGGTAAACAGAAAACCTGGATCCCCGCTCATTAAGAAACTAAACACTGCTTTGATCAAAATAAGTGCTTGGGTTCTGACAAGTGTTCTTATTTGTTGATATTACAACTTGGTAGCACATAGACGTTTAATTTCCATATAATGCATACAGTAGTAGGTCTCCCACATCAAACTATGTACTTCAGCTATTTCAGTCTACAAACTTTTAAAACCATATTTCAGGTGTCTGTGTCTTGTGGAATACCTGATTTCCGATCAAGAGATGGCATCTATGCACGTCTTGCAGTAGATTTCCCAGACCTTCCAGATCCTCAAGCAATGTTTGATATAGAATACTTCAGAAAGGATCCAAGACCATTTTTTAAGTTTGCAAAGGTATTATTTTCTTGTTACTTTTATCATTTTGGACAGTAAAGACATACCTGACTCAGATAGGAAAACTACTGTCTTTAAAAAGTTATTTCTGCTTTCAGTTCTTTTTCATGAACAAGAAAAAATAACTCCAAAGTTTGTTATATCATTTTAATTGGGAGTGCCCTTACTTAACAGCATAGGGGAAACTCCTGGAAGCCAGTCTTAAAATGAACAGATCTTACTATTGTCAATATTTTGGCTCTCATTGTAGGTATCCTGGTTTTAAATATCTACGGTCTGTGGGGGAATGGTAAAATATCTCATATTAGAATTTATTTCTATGAGAGAGAGACTGTCTTGAGTGCCCCTAGCTTGGCTGCTCATTTCAGGGAGGGTAATTTACAAATGCATTTTTCAAGCTTATGATGATTTAGTTGGCATGGTGTTTAGTTTCAAGAGATGACACAGATATCTTTTTTGGTAGGTTTTAAGGTGTTTACTGAAAAAGATCAAATAGAGTGAAGGACTGTAACAGCACATGAGCATATACTTATAACATATTTGGGCTTGTTATAGGTGACTACTCAAATTCGTAATATGCAACGAGATTTTAATCACTGGATATAGAATTAAACAGGGAAAGACATTTTCATGGACTAGCAAACTTGTTACAGTTTTGTTTCTTGCACAGTGCCTTCATCAAGCAGTAAGACATCTTGAAGAGTGAAAGCAGTGGTGCTCAAACTCTGGCCTGCAGGCAGGATCCCCATGCATCCCACTGAGCTGTCATCCAGCCTGTGTGGCTCTCCATGGATCTGGAAACTTTGGCAGTGGGGGAGCAGTAGCAGTGTTAACTGCTTCCAGAGCCACTGCAGTTAACATTGCCCCAGCTTTCCTGCCTCCAAAATTTCCAGATCTGTGGGGAGCTGCACAGTCCAGGTGACTTGGACCCACACACTAGATTCCACTGGATCCAAGATGTGGGGGACTAGAATATTTTAAAATAATTTCTGCCTACTGTGCTTTCACCCCCCTCTTTCATTCCACCCAGTAGACTGTCTGTTTTATTCCTTCAACTTCAAGTTCTTTGTTCCTACCACCAAGGCCTTACATAGTCTTGCATGCACCTATGTTTCTAGTCTCTTTCTTACATTAATCCTTATTAAACTTACCCTAATTCTTTTGCTTTACTAGTTCCTTTTTCTCCTTTTGCTACTACTGACTTTGTCTGTTACCATGTTGTTTTTCTGTTCCTTTTTCTCTGGCCCTTCTCAAATCTTTACCAAAACTCCTCTTTTCAAACATTTCCCCTCCTCTTTTCTTGTTAATAATCACTATGTTCTCCCTTGCCTTGAACTTTGTGTGCATTTTACTTTATTTTGACCATTGATTCTTTTCAGCAATGAACATATCTCATTTAAACTTGTAAAAAGCCACATGCACTTAACAGTACGGTATAAAACTAAGAATAGCATTTGTAGTCTAACTATTATCTAAGGTGATACTACATGGCCAGTTTGACCATTGCTACAGTTTAGAAGAACATTCAAATCAAGGGGTTATATATTTATAAATATATTTCCCTGTTTAAAAGAGGCAAATCAGTACAGGAAAAAATCCTAGGGGTCAGGAAGGTTACAAAGTAGCTGCTCAGAGCTGTGAATCCTAAACAACCTAAGTATATTTCCAGAATGTTAAGGTTACATTATGCTTTTAAAATCCATGTTATCCTTTGTTGATGGGCTGCAGTACAAATTAGCCTCTAATTTTGGTGAGACTCCTGTATGGATGAACAGAAGTTAGAGGCCCACTGTTAAAAATGGGGTTAGTTTCAAAAGAAATGGGAAAAGATTATCAATGTTCAGCTAACTGGCATTGACATTTTGTTCTTTAAACAGCACAGGAATCTCTGTATTTCCTGTGGTTTGTTGCATAATGCTATATCAAGAACAGAAAATATTGCTCCAGCACTTATTTACCTATCCTAATGTAATTCTCAATTCTGCAGGAAATATATCCTGGGCAATTCCAGCCATCCCTCTGTCATAAATTCATAGCTTTGATGGATAAAGGAGGAAAGCTACTTCGCAACTACACTCAAAACATAGATACACTGGAACAGGTTGCAGGAATCCAAAGGATAATACAGTGTCATGGTTAGTAAAACACTTCTATCTTTTTCCTGTTTTATAATGATAATATGTTCACTGGCAAATAATAACCAAAAATACATGTAATCTCTTAAGATTCATACCTTTTATCATCTGAAGTGATGCATATCTCAAGCAACATGCCTCATGCAAATTAGTATTTAGCTTCTAAATGTTAAATGTTGTAAAAACACTAAATAGAACTTAAATTTTTTTTGAAGAAGCATTAAGACAGAATTGATTGTGATTATCAATCGGTGATTTATGATATATTTATATGGTAGATTTATAACTGCAGTATATGATTTAAAGACATCATATACTGCAGTTATCCCACATTCATCCAGGTTTCAATTTCCCATCTAAACCTGGGAAACTCAGAGCTATGGCTAATTTAAATCTAAGCATGTTAATATGAAAACACACAGTAAAGTCACTTAACATCAGCTCCTTGTAACCACTGTATGATAATAGATGGGTTATATAGATGTAACAATTACACAGCGACAAATGCTCTTTAGTATTTATGCTCTGTATGAGGTTGTGCCAATTTTTAAGGACAGCTTAGAATTTTTTTTTGTCTTCCTTTTTTAAGGAGACTTTTTTTTTTTTTTTGAGAGAAGTGCTGGATGATTTAACTAAACATTCTCTTGTATTGCAAACCTAGCTTGGGCAGTATAACTACTATGCTGAAACAAAAGAACAAAACAAAATGGTGAACCATAAAGCAAACCCAGATAAAGTATCTTTTGTATGGTTTACCTAAATAGAAAACAAGCTGAAGGCACAGCAGAATGGTACTTTAGTAACTAACAGAGCACATTTTCATGAGACATTTACTACAGAGCTGCCTAAATAGCTCTGCAGTGAAGTCTCAGCATCTACACATGTGGCTGTGGTAGGCTGCAGTAAACTAAAATTCTGCCATAGATTAGTACTTGTAAATGCAAGTACTGTCCTATGGTGGCATTCCTTAGTATGCATATGTAGATGCTGTCAGGGCTGGCTGGGGCACAAGGGTACTTCAGTGCAGGGTCTGCCTGCTGGCTAGCTCCACAGCAGAGCACGCTTATGCCCCAGCCAGCCCCTCCACAGTATGTTGAGCTGAGTTGGAGCAGCCCTAAGCGGGCAAGCTGACCCCCTGGATCTCCCCCCAAATGGTTCTATGTGCTGTGGTCCTAAGTACAAGTGTAAATGCAGCTCCCAGGAGCAATATACTCCTGTGCAATATGTGCCTGAGTTTATTGCATTGCATTATCTACATTGGGTGTAGATGTGCCCACAGTTTAATTAAAATAGGTTAACCAGGTAGTCTCTAAGCCTAAGATGTTAAAAAAACCCAAGGAGGAAGGGCTCTAAGTACTGTATCACACTTTACTCAAAGTGCTTTACATTAGGTGAGGCCTGAACAGAACAGGTGTGCACTGTTCAGCGGGTGCAGGGCTCAGAGCCTGCCCCCACTGGCCAGGTCAGTAGCCAGGGGGTGCCCTTGTATACTTCCCAGCATGCCCTGTGGGTTTCCCAGGCTGCCAGATGCTTCTGAGTACAGGTGAATAGGCAAGCCATCCCTGATTAGCTGCCTAGTATGAGGGAACAGTCACCTGCTTCCCCCTACCCACTTCCCTTCCCTGCTGCTCTGCCAGTGCCAGGAATTGGAGAGACCTCTGGAAGGGACCTCTAGGCTGGGCTGGGGATGCTAGGGAGCCAGAATCCAAGTGAGGGAACCTTTCTGCCAAGTGCTGGTATGGAAAGGCTTGGCACAGGCATCTCCTCGGAGGTACAGTGGGCACCTCTCCCTCTTGGATCTGCCATGCATTGGGGGTGAGGGATACAGGGCAGGATTGCTTGGGGCCATGCTGGGTGGACAGAGACATGCATACCCACCCACCCAAGCCCTGCCACCCACAGAGCCAGCAGCTGCAGTGGCATCAACTCTGCCCTCACCCCAGTGCCATGCCCCTGCTTTGGGCCATGCTGAATCCACATGCTCCCAAGCAAGAGCCTCCTGTCCTCCAACCCCAAGCCTTGCTCCCTGTAGAGAGCCAGCAGCAGCAACAGCACCACACTATAGCTCTACCAGGCCCTTTGCCCACAAGGCTCAGCAGATTGCAGCTGCCAGTTGCTTGCTCTGTCTGCCCTGGTCTGCTGCCATCCCCTGCCGGCCCTGGCCAGCTGCTGCCATCTGATGAGGGGCATTATCTTTCTGTCTGTGGAGTACCCCTGTCCCGCCTAGGAGCATTGTATAATGATAGAAAAATACAGAGATACAGACACTCCCTTCTCCCTAACATACCTAACTACCTGTCTCTAAATGGAAATAGGAAAGAACCTCAAGGAAAGTTCTCCATCACCTTAAAACCTTGAACCATAGAATGTCTTAGTTACTAGTTATTGCTTTAAGAGAGCCAAATGTCTGGACAGAAAATAAAATCTTTTACACAGACAATTTTTGCCTTTGGCTGGTACCATTTTATATTCTGTATCGTAAGAGGCATGGAATCATGTTGCCTCTTTTTTAACCTGCATTTTGATTTTCCACCCCCCCCGGCTTATGAAGCAACAGGGTCGGTGGGGGTTGGAGCTTCCGTGTATAATTTTTGCTATTCTTTGCCTATAAGGCTTGAGGAAAAAGTGTATAGAGGCTTTTGATACATATAGTCAGCATGGAAACTTTTAGGGATCTTGCATAGAGCACACTTAGAAAACACATGCACCTTTTTCCCCCAAAATCAACTCTCCACAACTGGGGTACACGCCACGAACATGTTTTTCTTCCCTGGAATAGAAGTATGAAGATGCTGGGTTTCAAAAGGGCTGCCAACTTCTCAGCAAGCAAGCAGCAAGGGTGGAATCCAGCATTAAACCTTTCACATCCACCCTCAGCTTGCAGACACTGAGCAACACAGCCTCTCCATAAAAGTAACAGCTGTAGGCCATGACTGGAAAAAAAAACTTTTCTTTCTACATTCTGTCTTCCAAAAGATAAGGTGTAGTATGCAAGAAAATAAGGTACTAGCTAGATCAAGATTTGGATCTGTCATACGGCTGACTTAAGAAGTACACCAATCTTACAAAAAGGACTACACATCTTTCGTTGTTTAAACTGATTCAATCTTTAAATATTTAAAATTTACCATCTTGTATGTCCTTTTCTGTACTATTATGTGCATGAAAAAAATTCAGTTAATTATTTGATTAAAACCTAATGGTGTATCATCTGAAAACTTTAGGTTATAGAAGTGAATGACATTTGATTTAGATTTTGCTAGGTCGTCTTACTTTGTCTTCATATACCATGCTTAACTCATCAGGAAAAAAAAAAGTACCAGTTCATACTTCACACACAAGTCACTCAAGCTGTCACATATTTATCAAATTAAACCTATCATGTATTACCAAGTAGGTTTGAGTCTCTCATTAGAGAATTACTTCAAGAAAGAGCAGATGGTGAATTGCTATCTGCTCTCCCTTAGGATTTCTGCTTGAGGGAAGGAGGCAGCAGGTGTAAATTGCTGTTGGGATTTATGCCAAGCTCAGTGAACATTTAAAAGATTTACCTTATCTTTCCTATCTGTTCAGGTCTTGAATAAGAGGCCTTCCTTTCCCTCAGAAAAATGGAAATTAAAGGTATTTTCTGCCACTACAGCTTTCACCCTTTTATCTGTTTGGCAGACTTTTACTTCTGGGATTTCTGTCATGGTATGGGTTTGTTGGTAGAAGAATTTGAGTTTGTCTTGGATATGAGATGACAAAGTCGGATTTCTTTAACACAGAAAGAATCTAGCACCAGTTCCGACTCTCATATCAGTGGGCTCCAACAACCTCGGAGAAGGCTTACTCTCCTTGTTATACCTAGGGACATATCTCTTTCGTGGCATATAGCAGAGAACTGTCTCCTTTGTAGTCTGCAAGTGGCTCTGGTGGAAGACTAGCTGACTTCTATCAAATCTGTGCCAACCCAAGACTGGCATTGGCTCAGTCATCTGCTTGCAAGTCACAGGTGAACATGTTATGCTACACTGGCCCTTTTGGGGTGCTGGGATCTACCTTCATGTGTTTCAAGAAGTCAGTCATTTTAGCAGCTTTTCTAGCTAAACCTCTGACCTGCATCATCAAGAGAAACAGGATGCAAGGAGACATCCTCCTCCCCCCTAATGGGGTACTGTTAGATGTGGCAAAAGCGGTATTGCAGCTGCTGGTTCGAATAAATGCTAGTAGTTGTCCTTGTCATAAAAAGGTGCCAGGTACCCCTTTAAGAGTGTAGGTCCCTCGTTGAAGAGGTGGGGAAGGGGTGAAGGGTGGGAAGTCTAATAAAGGCTGAAGTCTTTGACTTTATATTTCCATAAAAAGATCAACTGCCAGATGGCAGGCATAGTTAGAAGTGAGGATGGGGAAGGAAATAGCTTAGAATAAGGAAATAACAGGTTAGCAATTTAACTTGGATGTTTTCAAATCAGCAAACCCCTTGAATCGCCTTAAACTATTAAAATTGTAGAGCCATGGGTTTTTATCTTTAAGAATTCATAGTGCTCAGGTGAGGTTGCATAAGACCGACTATAATGCTCATCTTCCTATAAAAAAACAAAAAAAACAAAATGGGGTGCATCTACGTGAGAGTGACTACACACTAGTCTGTACTGCGCAGTAGTGTTGCATGCCAAAAACCATGATGCGATGCTACTGTGCAGTAGCATCACAAGAAAATGCACAGCACCAAATGCCTAACTCGGGGTACTATTTATTTATTTAGTACTTGTATAATCAAGTACTAAATAAATGTGAGTAACCACTGTGCAGTAGTGTCTGATGTAAGTGTGGCCAGGGAAGACAGAAATGTAGACTCATCAGTCTACCCTCAATATATAGAAACATACTACTACATATCAGCAAGGAACTTATTTCTAAGCACCTAGAGTATAACAGGGTGTTATGTAACAGCCAACATGGATTTATTGAAAGCAAGTTGCATTTAACCAAACCGTTTTTTCTCTATGGGAGAAAAGTAG